ACCCCTAATCAAACAATTCATTGCAATCCTAGCAGGTGAAGATCCCTTGGGTGAAGGGAAAATTTTTCTTCCTGTGCTTTTAACATCCTGCCCCGGCTCTCCCTCAGTCTGGATTTTAAATTCCCTTTCTTTAGCACTTGTGGGGTCAGGATTTCTTGCCTGGCTCACACCCCAATGACTCCCATGTGTCCAGGCTGTTGGTGTCATAGGGCCCCTTCCAGCCCAAGGCGGTGCTCTGGCCTGAGCTCTTGATTTTTTTCTTTCGAAGCACCAGAAGATTCCAGTGAGATTTGTCAAGCTTTTGTCTCAGGGGAGCTTCTTCATGACGGGAGGGGCTGGGCCTCAGGAGCCTCAGCTGGCTCAAAAAAAAAAAAAAGGGGGGGGTAGCACTTTGGAAGAGACTCTAGGGAGACAGGCGTTGTCTGAGTTTGTTAAATTCCAGAAACGAGTCACTTTGCCAAAAATGCCAAAAATAAAAGGACTGTCTAGACACTTGCACATTGGAAGCTCTAATAAGAAGAGAGACACCGCCTCTGACGTCGTGGATTTACGCTTGCGTGGCACCACCTTGGGGTTCGGTCACTTAACCAACAAGGACTGAGCGGCTGCTGTGCACCCCGTGTTCTGGGTGCCTGGTGCATCGGGTGATAGGATGTAGAAGAACCAACTGGTTTTAGGGAGTGGCAATAACACAGGGTGATGATGGGCCTGAGCAGAGATCTCCCCCAAAGAATTCCCCACTTCTGTGGTGATCCCCAGTCTCCCTTGCTGTAGCTTTAACTAACTGTGGTCTGAAAAGATCGAATGGAAAATTCCCAGAAATAAACAACGTATATGTCTTAAATAGTGCACCATCCTGAGTGACATGATGACATTGCTTCTTGTTATCTCGTGTCTCATCTGTCCCACCCCAAACCTGACTCATTCCTTCACCTACTGTATCCAAGCTGTATATGCTACCCACCCCATTAGACACTTGGGAGATACTTGAGAAAGATTATATTTCAATACTTGTTATTACCCTACATTGGTATAATGGTTCTGCTTCCTTATTAATTCTCTCTTACTGGGTCTAGTTTATAAAGCAAAAATTATCCTAGGTATATATGCATAGGGAAGACATCTGTGGCTCAATAACTGAAATTTGGGGCATTCACTGGAGGTTTTGAGCTATATCTCTCATGGATAGAAGAGGATTACAGTAGTGGAAAGGGAGGAGCCATTGGAGGAGGAGAACTCCAGGCAGAAGAAGCCACTGCTGCAAACGCCCCAAAGCCTGCAGGAAAAACAAACAAAAAATATGGTTGGTGCAAGTGTGTGTGTGTGTGTGTGTGCGTGTGTGTTGGGGTCAGAAAGATAGGAGGTGAGCTAGACGAAGTAGAAGAGCCCAGGTCCTGTGAAGGCTTTGCAGTCCTCCAGGGAAGATAACTGGGGTTTTGTTGCAAATGTGACAGAAAGAAGGAAAGAGAGGGCAATACATGTTAATCTGATTAAGGCGGAAAACATGCATGTGGGAAATACCATGGTTAAACCCCTTTGTAGCAATTAATATATACTAAAAATGGATGAAAGAAGAGTAAATGAGGTTCTGGTGGGGGAGTGAGAATGGGAGGGCAAATTGAAAAGGTAGTAAAAGTTCTTTATAAACATGTTTGAAAATACGACAGTGGAACATGTTGCAATTTGTTTAAGTGGGGAAAGGTGGCAGGGGACACAGGGAATGAGAGAGGGTGAATTTGATCAGGAGACATTGTATGCATGTGTGAATTCTCACCGTGAAGTCCTCTTACACAACCAACAGATGCTAAGTGAGAGAGAGAGAGAGAGAAAGAAAGAAAAGAAAGAAAGAGAGAAAGAAAGAATGAATGAATTTCTCCTCCTTGTGTGTTACAAATTCATTGTAGTGAAGACTCAGGAAATTGAGTATTCCTGAGGCTTAGACACAGGACCTGGGTGCTGTCACTAAGCTTTTTTTTTGTTCAAGGCTAGTGTTATACCACTTGAGTCAAACTCCACTTCCATCTTTTCTGATAGTTTATTGGAGAGAAGAGTCTCACAGACTTTCCTGCCTGGACTGGCTTTGAACCATGATCCTCAGATTTCAGTCTTCTGAGTAGCTAGGATTACAAGAGTGAGCCACTGGTGCCTGCCTTCTTTCCTTCCTTCCCTCCCTTCCCTTTTTCCCCTCCCCTCCCTCAATTCCTTTCTATTCTTTTCTTTTCTTTTTTGCTGGCTTGAACTCAGGGCCTGGGCACTGTCTTTGAGCCTTTTTGCATTCAAGGTGCTATAGCACTCTACCACTTGAGCCACAGCCCCACTTCTGGATTTTTTTTTTTTTTTTTTTGGTCGGTTGTGGGGCTTGAACTCTAGGCCTGGGCATTGTCCCTCAGCTCTTCAGGTCAAGGCCAGCACTCTACCACTTGAGCCACAGCCCCACTTCTGGCTTTCTGGTGGTTTGTTGGAGGTAAGAGTCTCATGGACTTTCCTGCCTGGGCTGGCATTGAGCTGTGATCCTCAGATCTCAGCCACCTGAGTAGGTAGGATTACAGGCATTAGCCATCAGTACCTGGTCACTTCCGGTTTTTTCTGAGTAGTTTTTATTGGAGATAAGAGTCTTAAGGACCCTGTCCTAGCTGGGAAATTTTTAGTTAATACTTCATATTAGAGCCAAAGTTACAGGGCTCTTCCTAGTCCAAAGTCCTTTGTTTCTGTCCTTCCAGGAAAATGAAGAAATTATAACAAACTAGCAAACAAACAGGCAGCAACAACAAAACAAACCAAAAATCTCCCTAAGAGAAAAGTTTCTTGGCTGATTGTCTCTACAGAGTGTTTTTCTCCTCAGCTGGCAGGAGAGTCAGAGAGTAGATATGTATTAAGGATCAATTACATACCTTGATCTCCTCTGATTCCACAATAACCCTACAAGGTTAATGGTATTAGCTTTGCTTTCTGCTTTGTTCTTTTTTAAATTCCAGTATGAGAGCTTGAACTCAGGGCCTCATGCTCACTCTTATCTTTTTGTGATCACTGCTGGTCCTCTACCCCTTGAACCATGCCTTCACCTCTGACTTTTGGCTGGTTCATTGGAGATACCAGTCTCTTGGCTTTGCCTGCGACTGGTTTTGAACCAAGATCCTCAGATCACAGTCTCCTCAGTAGATAGGATTATAGACTTGAGCCACTGAGACCCTGGCAAGAATAACCTTTTCAGATCTCCCTCTCCAAGGTCAAGATTTATTGATGCCAAAGACGCTAATGAAGAAAAGGGAGTTTGGATCCTGAAGTAAACAAGCTCATTATCTAGCAATAAATCAACTAGGGCTGAGACCCATTAGGGCTGACTGCAAGGTGGAACTGATGCTATCTGTTCATTCAAAAAGAGAAACCAATGAGAGCTACCAGTGGATCACCGAGGGGATTCCAGGATCCAGGACCCTCATGACAAGGCCATTCGATATAGCAAAATCCTCCCACTTACGCCTTTCCTCCTAGCTCTGTGACAGGCCTGGTGGCATGGATTTGTTTGTTGAAAGAGGAGTTGCCCTCTCATTTTGCCTGGACCAGCCTCAAACTGCGTTCCTCCTGATCTATGCCTCCCTAATCATGTTGGATTATAGGTTTGAGCGAACCATGCCTCACCAGATCTCAGGACTCATGGGAACAACCCAGAGGGAGTAGAGTTTTTTGTTTGTGATTTTGTGCCAGTCTTGAGACTTGAACTCAGAACCTGGGTGCTGCCCTTGAGCGTTTTGCTCAAGGCTAACACTCTACCACTAGATCCACAGCTATCTATCTATCTATCTATCTACCTACTATCTATGTATTTATTTTCTAACTGATTTTGAAACATTTATTTGAAAGCAAAAGAAACAGCAAAGTGAGAACTCCTAGTAGAAGGAGAGGTCCCGGAACCGCCTGGGTGTGCTTGGAAGTAGGTTTTGCAGGTTCCACCTGCCCGAACTGCCCTACTGTTTCAGAGAAAGGCTGGGACAGCATTCCCAGAGCCAGCACGTAGGAAAAGCCAAGCCATCAAGTCTAATCAACTACCTAACCACACCCAGGATGGCAGCGGGGAGCATGGCCTGGAGAGCCTTCTTCTCCTTCGAGCTTGTAGTGTAGGTGGGTGAGTAGACAGCGAACTCCTTGGAGGGAGGAATTTATCTCACTCTTATTGTTTATTCTCATTATCATCCCTATTAGTATTCTTCTTATTTTGACAGTATTAGGGTTTGAACTCAGGGCCTTGGACTTGCTAGGCAGACACTTTACCACTTGAATCACACTCCAATCCTTTCTTGGGTTTAGGTTATTTATTTTGCCAGTTGTGGGGCTTGAACTCAGGACCCTGAGCCTTTTTATTATTTATTTATTTATTTAGCTCAAGGCTAACACTCTACTACTTGAGCCACAGTTCCATATTTCTAGCTTTTTTTTTTTTTTTTGTCAATTATACTCAAAGGTAGTACTCTACTACTTTGAGCCACAGTGCCACTTCTAGTTTTCTGGTGGTTCATTGGAGATAAGCGTCTCACAGACTTTCATGCATGGCTGGCTTTGAACCACAATCGTTAGAACTCAGCATCTTGAGTAGCTAGGATTACAGGCTGGTGTCCAGATTATATGTATCTTTTTTTCCCCTCATGGTTTTTTAAAATTATTTTATTAAGGAACAATCACAGAGACAAGTGGATTACAATGAAGAAATATTATTTGTATAGGAGTTATAAAGTCATAAATTTTTTTTTGTTGTTGTTGTTGGTGGGGCTTGAACTCTGGGCCTGGGTGCTGACCCTGAGCTCTTCAGCTCAAGGCTAGTGCTCTACCACTTGAGCCACAGCACCACTTCCGGTTTTCTGGTGGGTAATTGGAGATATGAGTCTCACAGACTTTCCTGCCCGGCTGGCTTTGAACCGTGACCCTCAGTTCTCAACCTCCCAAGTAGCTAGTATTACAGGCTTGAGCCACCGGTGCCTGGCTATCATAAAATACTTCTGTGTACTCTCTTTAGTGGTGCTTGTTGTTATTCTGAGATTCCAACAAATGTCCAGCCCCTGATGCTATCATAAATGCAGCAAATCCCCACTTGAAACCTTTAAATATGACACCAATAAAGGAATAGTTGTGGGCAGGGAATGTGGCTCAGTGGTAGAATGCTTGCCTAGCATGCATGAAGCTCTGGGTTCGATTCCTCAGTACCACATAAACAAAAGATGCCAGAAGTGGTGCTGTGGCTCAAGTGGTAGAGTGCTAGCCTTGAGCAAAATAAGCACAGAGACAGTGCCTGGGCCCTGAGTTCAAGCCCCAGGTCTGGCAAAAAAAAAAAAAATAGTTGGTTTGCAAAGCTCCTATGTATCTCCAAGCTTTGTTGCGGGCCATGAATCTCTTCACCCTCGTGTAGCATCTTCTGCTCAGGTTCTAATGATGTCCCTTCTATTTTCCACTGTCTATAATCTGGAAGTTCAATTTCACGATGGCTATGTCCATGTCCATGTTTATGTCCTGGGCCCATGTCAGACAGCAATCTGATCTCTCAGGACACTTTCTATATAGCTTTTAATATAACCACAACACAACTTGTTCAGAATAATACCCTCTGTGTGATAAAATCTGATCTTTTCTATTCTAGTGCATTTCGTGGACAATGGGACTGTTTTAGGAAGATAGACAGGTTCTATATTTTGATTGGGGGTAATGGTAGCATGGGGGTATTTGTTACAATTTGTTAAGCTCCACGTTTACACATGCATTTTATTCCCTGTAAATGAACTCTCTGCCTAGGGTAGGGGTAGCTCAGTGAATGTCTAGCATGCACAGCACCCCATCCCCCCCCCCCAAACTCAATAGATTTGCAACACTGTGAATTAATTTTGCATTGAGATACAATTCACTTTTCATAAAAGTTTGAGAGACTCCATCTCACTAAATGACTGAGCTTGATGGTGCATGCTTTTTGTCCCAGTTACAGGAGAAGTACAATAGCTGGCCCAGTGGCTCACTGGCATCCTAATGACACAGGAAATCACAAGTAGGCAGAGTGCAGCCCAGGCCAAGCTGGGCACAGAGCCAGGCCCTACCTTGAAAATAATCAATGCACAAAGAGTCTAGAGATGTGGCTGAAATGGCAGAGTGCTTGCTCAGCCCTGAGTTCAAGTTACATTACCAAGAATAAATAAATAGATAAATAAACGAATAAAACAAAGGCTGAGGATGCAGTTCAGCGGCAGAGACCTTGTCCGTTATGTGTGAGGCCCTGACTTTAATCCTTAGTGTCACAGTAAGAAAACAGAAGAGGATGAAGGCAGTAGTGCACACCTGTAATCCATATGCTCTGGAAGAGTTCAAGGTCCAGGGCCAGTCCCAGGCAAAATATAAGTGAGACCTCATCTCAGCCAATAAGTGGGGTATGGTGGCACATTTTTGTCCTCTTGGTTATTCAGGAGACACCTCCTGAAGGAGAATTTCTAATTTAGGCATGCTGGCACAAAAATCATGAAAGCAAAAAGGGCTGGAGGCTGGGGAGGGGAGAGAGCGAAGGCAGGTATAGCTCAAATGGTAGAACATTTGCTTAGCAAGCACAAAACCCTGAGTTCAAACTCTAGTACCACAAAATAAGGAAGGCGTACAATTTGGTGGATTCCTTTCTTCCTTCCTTCCTTCCTTTCTTTTTTTTTTTGTCAGTTGTGGGGCCTGAACTCTGGACCTGGGCTCTGTCCTCAGCTCTTCAGCTCAAGGCTAGCGCTCTACCAGTTGAGCCACAGCGTTACTTTTGGGTTTTTCTGTTTATGTGGTGCTGAGGAATCAAACCCAGGACCTCATGCATGCAAGGCAAGCACTCTACCACTGAGCCACTTTCCCAGCCCAATTTGGTGGATTTTTATGTATGTACATAGCAGCCATCAAACCCAAGATACTTCCATCAGTGGAGAAATAAACTCTACATCCACTGACAGTCACTACCCATATTCTTAAACCCCAGCATGGGACAGCCACTCATGTCTTCCTGTCTCAATGGATCTGCTGGTTCCAGTCCAATGGGGCCAGAACACTTAGAGGCTAGACCAGTCCCTTGGCCTCTCAAGGAAGGGAAATCTCACCACCAGCCAAAGCAAAGGCCCAAACTGCAGTTTGTCTATTGTTACTGGATGGTAACATCCAAGAGCTCCTAAGACCTCTGCAGGTGACCCAGGGCCTCTGTCCCCACTTCTTCCCTCACCCCAATCCATGACCCAGTCAGTCCTGTGAAAATTCTCCAGAGGCACCCAATGGAGGACAGGAGAAGGGGCTCTCTCAGATCAAGGGGGCCAAGCTCTCTGAGCAATGCAAAGAAGGTTCCAAGGAAGAGTTGAGACTTATTCTTCTCGGAGGCTGGAGCTACCATCCATGGAGAGGGGAGGTCTCCAAAGAGCTGTCATTGGAGTGGCTGGTGGCTCACGCCCATAACCCTAACTACTTGGGAGGCTGAGATTTGAGGATCACCGGTTTGAAAACTGCCTGGACAGACACATCTGTGACACTTTTGTCTCCAATTTATCAGTAAAAAGCCGGCAGTGAAGGTGTGGCTCAAGTTGTAAAGCACCAGCTTTGAGTGAAAAAGCCAAGCAAAAGTAAGAGGCTTTGAGTTCAAGCCACCACACAGATACCACAGAAAATAACTGTTATAAGAGTTGTCTGAGGACAGAGAGACAGAGGTCCTATTTGTACTTTACAGTGTTACTTGAGAAGCACAAACCATCTTGCTCAACCACTGGCTGATATAAAGTATTGTAAATGGGGCTGGGGGGCTGGGAAGGTGGCTCAGTGGTAGAGCGCTTGCCTTGCATGCATGAGGCCCTGGGTTTGATTCCTCAGCACCACATAAGCACAAAGAAAAAAGCCAGAAGTGGTGCTGTGGCTCAAGTGGTAGAGTGCTAGTCAACAACTGAAGAGCTGAGGGACAGCGCCCAGGCCCAGAGTTCAGGCCCCACGACCGGACCCCAAAAAATAAATAAATAAAAATAAATAAAGTATTATGAACTTCTGCTTTTAAACTGTTGTCCCTGTTAGCCTTAAACCTCAATCCCTTAATTTCCACCTCCTGAGTAGTTAGGATTACAGACTACTGTAATCAGCTCCTGTGCTGAACATTATTTTCCAACTATACTATGCATTTTAGGACATCATCTCAATAATTTGTAAATGCTCATAAAAGAGACAAAGAAATACAACAAGTAAGAAATTATCCCAGATCTTTCAGCTCCAAAGTAATGATGATGAACACCAATTGAAGAGTATTCTAGTCTGTGATATTGTCCAGAAGAACTTTCTGAGAGGATGGAAATGTTTGCTGTGTTTCAGATACACTGATCACAGCTTTTCATGCCTATTGAACACTAGGAATTTGGCCATTGAAATTGAGGGACTGACTATATTTTTTTAAAAGTTAACTTTAACCTAAATATAGTCATGTGCCGCTAGCACCTGCTGGGAAGGACCTCCCAGTTCTTGACCCTTTTCTATGCATGTGGGCAATGGAAGGACATAAGAAAGGCAGGGGTAGAATCCAGGAATTCTACTTTTAGAAATTATCCTAAAGAAAACCTAAAGAAATAGCCATAGCCAGGTGCTGCTAGTTCATGCCTGTACTCCTAGCAAGTGGCTCAGAGGAACAGTGTCTTAGCCCAGAGTTCAAGGCCCATGACCAGACCAAAAAAAAAAAAAAAGGTTTCGGTAGAACCAGTCATGGTGACTCAATCTTATCCTAGCTAGTTGTGAGGCAGAGATTGGGGGACAAGGCCAACCTGGGCACAAAAGTTTGGGAGAGAGGGAACAGAAGAGACTGTATGAAAGGAAATGTACTCATTACCGGCTCAGGTAATTGAACTCCCTCTGTACATCATCTCTCTAACAACAATAAAAGAAATGAATTTAAAAAAAGTGTAGGAAACTCCATCTTAATCAATGGCAGAGCTTGATGCCATCCCGCACTGTGGGTGAAGCACAGTGACTGGGTGCAGTCATCCTATTGACAAAGGGAAGCACAAACAGGAGGATCACAGTCTAGCCTGGTATAAAAATGAGATGATTTTTGGAAATAACCAATGCAAAAAGGGACTGAAGGTATGAGGTCCTGAATCTCATCCTTAATATTGCTGTTAAAAAAAACACACACATAGTCATGTACCACTAACATCTGCTGGAAAGAGAAGTAGGAGGGAGAAGATTATGAAGAAGAGGAGGAGGGCTGGGAAGGTGGCTCAGTGGTAGAGTGCTTGCCTTGCATGTATGAGGCCCTGGGTTCGATTCCTCAGCACCACATAAGCAAAAAGCCAGAAGTGGCACTGTGGCTCAAGTGGTAGAGCGCTAGCCTTGAGCTGAAGAGCTGAGGGATAGTGCCCAGGTCCAGAGTTCAGGCCCCACGACAGGACCCCCCCCCCCAAAAAAAAGAAATGAACGAAGAAGAGGAGGAGGAGCCAGTCTCTAGTGGCTCACAGCTACCCAGGAGACTGAGATCTGAGGGTTGCGGTTCAAAGCCAGCTTAGGCAAGAAAGTATTTGAGACTCTTATCAGCAATTACCCATCAAAAAAGCTAGAAGTGGAGTTGTGGCTTAGGTGATAGAGCTCTAGCCTTGAGCCAAAAAGCTCAGGGATAGTGTCCAGACCCCTAGTTCAAGTCCCATGATGGACCCTTCCCTGAAAAAACCTATCTCTAGGAGTGTTTATCATCATGAATAACTAGAACAGTGTGGGAAAATACTTGCCAACATCAGAATATGTTTACAACGGTATTAAGTGAGAGGTATGTTACAAAGCAGAACGATTTTGTTAAACTAATAGAAATAGCCTAGAAATATTTCAAAAAGCTCCATCTGCAGCAGATACTCAGTTAAGTCTTTGTTAGATGAATGGGTAAATGTTAAGAGTGGGTGGTGAAAGGAAGCAATTTCTACTTTCTTTGCTCTTATTTGTCGTTTCTAACTTTTCTCTGGTGAACACATGTTCCTTTGTCAGAAGAAAAAGAATATATTGAAAAAATGAAGGCTCATGGTGGTGTCATAATATCTCAGAGCTGGCAGTAACTTTAGGGACAGAAACACACGTGATACGTGGCCAGTTAAGAGCTGAAACCCAGATTTCCTGACTTCATACAAACATGTTTTGGAGCCAAGGAGAAAATATTGTTGGATTGTCTCCTGTTAGGGACTACTCCTGGTCAGGACAAACTCCGTCTGTGTGACAATTCAGAGTTTAGGAGAGAAAAGAAAATGTTTTAATGTTCTTAACAAGATACCAAAAAAATCGTAGAGAAGGCTGGGCTCTGGTAACTCATACCTATAATCCTAGCTACTCAGGAGGCTGAGATCTGAGGATCGAAGCGAGGCAGGGCAGCAAAGTATGTATGACTCTTCTTTCCAATTAACCACCAAAAAGCCAGAAGTGAAGGTGCAGCTCAAGTGGTAGTCTTTTTTTTTTGGGGGGGGGGGGTCCGGTCATGGGGTGTGAACTCTGGGCCTGGGTGCTGTCCCTCAGCTCTTCAGCTCAAGGCTAGCACTCTAC